GAAAGAACTCGAGTACATCACTTCGAACCTGTCAAGAGAACTGGAAGAAGAGATGATGGAAAAAGCAACACACATATTTTTCCGAAAGATGTCTTCTGCTCTTCACAATATCAACGTACTGCGATCATTACCTGGAGAATTTATCGAGCTCCACGCTAAAGTCGAAGGTGAAACAGCTGGTACAGATCTGACTGCTGGTTGTCCTGTGGAACGGGTCATTTTTCTGAAACCTAATTGCAGGGTTATGCTTTTATGGAACAAATCTGAAATGTTGCGAAATGGAAGTCAAGGAATCTTCCTTCGGATGGAAAATGAAAGTACTGCGGTCGTGCAATTTCCTGAAGTTGGAATTTTAAAGGTTGGTCAGCAAACATGGTTAAAAAGAGATAGACTTGGACAGATAATTGGAACAGTGACCCAGATTCCCTTAACTCCTTCGTATGCCATTACGTGTCACAAGTCACAAGGTCAGACACTCGAGGCTGCTGTGGTACACTGCTCCCAGGAATTTGTCTCTGGTCTCACGTATGTAGCTCTTTCTAGAGTCAAATCACCCCAAAATGTTCAGGTCATCAACTTTAAGCCTCGATTTTTGAAAGAACCTCCTGAAGAAGTCACAATGGAATGTTGGTCAACAGCTCACATTGATAACCTTCATGATGATTTAAATTGCTGTCGAAAGAATAAGATACTTAACCTGGAAAGTTACTTCCTTGTCAGAGACAGGAATGCTATTTGTGATGATGACTTGGAGGAAAGTGATTTRCTTCCAGAGGATGAGGAGCTWCCCAAGAATATATTTGAATTGGACACACCCATTATAAGYCTAGTTGAGATTAACAACACTCTTCATGGCCATGAAGATGAATTTGMTAAGCCACCTGACACWTTGGACATAAAACAATTGTTGGCGTCACTAAAAAACAAGAAAGCAGTCATTGGTACCCAAGGCTATGACAAAAACATCCTAATAGATAGTCTTTTGATTGAGTACAGTGAGAATGAAGACACCAAGGATATCATCGATGCCTTTGTATGTGTCATATCGAGTCATCTGTTTGTCATGGTAGGTGGAAAGACAGCTGAAAATCTGGATTGTACAGTATCCACAATCTCTAGGCAAGAGTTCACATCAGTCACCATGGAATTACATATGTTCTCTAAAAAAGAAGAGTACAAAGCTTACCTTCATGACTTGTTTGGAAGTGACAAGTTGAACAAGATA